GCTTCCTGCTCCCAAGAGCATGGAGCTTCCTTTTGCTCCTGCGCTTCCTCCCCTTCCCAATGCTCCCATGCCTCCTTTTCCTCCTCCCCTTCACCCTTTTCCTCCTTTTCATCCCACCACCCAACCTCTGTGGGCGCTAGCTCACTACAGTCGCACTCTCCTTCATGATGGCCCTGCCAATTTGCAGGGACGCATTGCATGGTGCAGCCATTCCACTCCACATAAAACTTTTCATCGCCATCCCACCGTGGGTCCCGCCCTGGAGGGCAAACCTTTTTCCCCTGACTGCTCCCTGCAATCTCCAAAATCCGCCTCCTCATCCTGCCTTGTCCTAGTCCTAATCCACTTTGCGAAGTGTTGCAAGTCATCCAAGGGATCACTGGTTTCTGGGTTTCCGAACTGAATGGTGTCATCACCAGCTGACATTTGCATCTCACTCCAAAAGATGGTCTGGAGTGGGTGATGGAGGGCTGCCTCCACCGCTGCAGAAAACTGGTCCTCATTTAGATGGGCAATTTCATCATCCGACATCTCCCAAAATCGTTCCGGCGAGAAACTGCTTGGAAGCGCGTCTGCAATCTTCGCTGGTTGGTGGGTCTCAACACTGGCTGGGCTTGCAAACTCGGTTGGCTTATCGCTGGAACTCGGGGATGTGGTGGAACCTTCATCAGCCTTAGGTTTGAAAAGCCGTATACTCAGTTTTATATGGACTAGGTACAAGCGTTTTGAAATAGTTACGTTTCACATACACGGCACGCGCACGGCCCTGAATTTTCATACCGTGGGGTAGTAGTTACATAGTTTGAAGCTCTTGCTGCTCACTTCTTTGGACGCTTTTCCAACCCCGGGTTTTGAAAGAATAGATCAATAGGTCTGTTCAAAAACAGGTGGGTTTCGGGATAGCTAGTTCACACTGCACCTTAAACAGGAAAAGCTTGATGTTGTCGGGTGTTGTCGCTGCCCTTGAGTGGCGACAGCCCGGCCTTGCTAAAGCGATCCAAGGCAGCCATATTCTGGGCGGTCTTGTCAAAAGCAGGAAGAGCCTTGGGCTTGATTGGAAGGAGGGAGTGCTACAAGAGGGAAAAATGCAAGTACCACGTTATGCCAAGAAACCTTTCCAGTGGAGATAGCACCTGAAGCGGAATCAACCACTTCCTTACTCCACACTAGGTCTGGACACGGCACGCTACCCTAACCCCATGAAGTTGCATGCGTCGTACCAGCACATATACATGTGTTGTATATACATTGCACACCAAGTAGTTGAAAGGAGATTCGGGACTCTGACCTTCACGACTATAATCCCCAGCGTGTCCATCCCATTGCGAATCTTGGTCCTGCATGCGCACACATTGATTGGAGATGCGCAAGAAACATCATAGGAGGGGTTCAGGCGCACAAGTGACAAAATCGGTTTCATTTAATCTGTGTGAGCTGTCCTGAAACCACTCGAGCTGGGTATCCATGTTGTCGACCGACTGCATCTTCCGAACCCACCACAGGTTCTTTCTTGCTTTTTGTGTGAGTTCATGCACAACAACTGTTTGTTGCTTTAGCCACTCCTTAAAGGTAAAACCTGGTGTTGTTGGAATTGTGAGCCCGCGTTCGTTCACCATCAACCTGATGGCGTCCCTAATGGACGCCTTGGTCCAAACACGCTTCTGCTCACAGTCTGGCAGGGATGCACGGATCAGCTCGAGAGCCTTCGCAGTCTTGCGATAGCGAAGGGACTTGTGAGAGACCAGGCTACCCGTTTTTCCCAGATATTCTCCAGCGTCCGGTTTCACGAGCCCACAAAAAATGCCATCGGCAAGCCGTTTGATTTTCGCTTGCCGCACTGCCCTTCCCTCGTCGACCTCCATCGAACCCGTGTTTGATCCGAATATAGCTGAGGACCGATTTATATATGGTGTGGCGGCAGCATTTGCAGATCGACGGCTTGAAAACAAGAACTGCGCCAACCGAGCGTCCGATCGGATCTATTGAACCAGATCTCGAGTCGACCAACCCCGTTAAAAAAAAACACGTTTAAGGCTATGCGCTGTAGTTTTGGTTTTTGTTTTGTTTCATGATTGGGCGGAAGTTTCCAAACATAAATTGGCACACATGGCTGGCAAGAGTTGAGCAAGCTTAACGTCAACCCAATGTCAGCCCCTAAACCGGGCCACGTGGACGCATAATACTTCTGGCGTCGCTGCATACTTCTGGCGTCGCCGCAAACATACTGCGCGTGTGGCTGGTCATCATGAAGAAAATCATGGATGGGTGGGTGGGTTTGGCAGAAATTCAATGCATCATTACTTTTACCTTGCGTCCACCTTCTGGCACTGAAGGAAAAAGACCATGGGTGGGTGGGTGGGGCCTGAATTCTGCACTACACCAGTCACACAGATTAAGCGTGCCTTCTTGACACGTTTTATCAAGACGCATGTTGCTGCATGGGTCCTTTTGGCCACTTGTGTCCGAACAGACCGTCCTGGTATGGATTGCCCCGGCCACCCGGGCTGCGATCTTATGAAGTTGAGGAGCTCCCCGATGGCACACTGTGCTGCGACACCGAAGAGGAGGCCGAATACCCCTGGGAGATGTGTGTGGCCTATGCGCGCGCTGTGCGCGAGCAAATAGAAACAGATTGGCAATTTGATGCAGCAGTCGCCGAGGCCAGGGAAGCTCATTTCCTGGAAGAAATGGCCCTAGCTACCAACCGGTTGGCAGACCCGGATGTAGCAGGCCCTATGGCAGAGAGCCTAGCGCTGAGGGAGAGCTTTATGGCCAAAGGCCGGGAGAAAGAGCACCTGGCCGCGTTGTTGAGGCAGGCAACTTACCGAGGCCTTCATGTCCTATGCATGGCGCCAGGAAGCCCATATCAATGAGTTGGAGCTCTTGGCAGTAGCCGTCTTTTTGAAGAGGCGGGCACGGACTCGAACCAAGCAGCATTTTCGCTTCTTCCATGCGCTGGACTCCATGGTCTCCAGGGGAGTGTTGGCAAAAAGCAGAAGCAGTTCGCGGAGGCTCAACAAAGTGGCTCGCAGGCGCAGTGCCTATTTGCTAGCCATGGACAACTACATGTTTTCCGCTTTGGACTATCAGCCGATGGAACTTTGCGGATAAGGCCAGCAGAGCCCATGAAGCGTAGCAAGAAGAGCCTGCAGTATGCAGGCCTGCGCCCAAGAACACTACGAGCCTACCGCACTGCTTTGGATCGTTTCTTCAAGTATGTCTGCCGAAAGAAGCTGAGCATTTCTAAGCCCCATCGGCTTGATCGTCAGGTTGCGGAATTCATTGACCTTTCTTACCAAGAGGGAGAGCCAATGAGCTACTCGGGACGCCTCTTGTCGGCACTGAAACGGTTTCACCCAGCGTTGCGTCTGGAGTTACCGATTGCAAGCCATTACTTCAGGAACTGGCAGCGCTGCTATGTCCCCTCTCGTGCGGTCCCAGCGCACTGGGAGCTCGGAAGCCATGATGGGCCTGGCTCATTTACAAGGGTTCCAGGAGTTCGCACTACTGGTGGCTTTGGGCTTCAATGCCATGCTGAGGACGAGTGAGATGCTCTCGTTGACCCACCAACATGTTATTCCTCATCAACGCGGCAAAGGCATGAGCATCATCATACCAGGTAGCAAGACGTCGCAAGGCAATCCTCAAGTTATCTGGGTGCTGGGCAGCGCTTTGATTGCCTATGCTACTTCCCTGCGGCGGCAAGGGGAGGAGAGTCTTTTGTGGCCTGAGGGGCCGCACCGTTTTCGGCAATTGTTTACCACCTTACTGCGGCAGCTGGGTTTTGCAGAGGATGACTATACCCCCTATAGCTTGCGTAGGGGGGGAGCAACTTGGTTCTTTCAGACTTCCCTGAGTCTGGATGCAACTATTGCCCGTGGTCGCTGGTCCTGTGGCAAAACGGCAAAGCAGTACATCGATGAAGGCACCTACCAATTGGCGCAAGTCAACTTTACCCCTGTGCAGCGGTCAACGATTCGTTCATGGCGCTTGAACTTCTTACGGCTACGCCAGGGAGGCAGGAAGCGGAAGGGGTGAGTCCTTTTTCGCATTTCTTCCTGCAGAAAGTTGGATTGGTGAGGCCTACAAGAGGCGACAGTCAGGCCATACTAGATGGTCCTGAAGAACCCTCATGAGGGTAAGCAGCTTTGTTTCACGAGGCAACAGCCTGGAGCTGGCCTCACTGAAGCAACTGAGAGGCGCTTCTGAAAAGAGCGCTAGCTGCTGCTGAGAAGAGAGAGAGAGAGAGGACATAATATACTATATATCTATGACCAAAACGTTGGTCCTCTCATCAACTGTCCAACCTTCATCGGCATTGCTGGGCCGAGGTGCCGAGCTGGTCCGCTGGCATGGCTGGTGTAAGGTGCAGCAGAGCCTCCGGCTCCGGAAAGCAGGCAGGTGAGCGCAGGTGAGCGCAGATCGAGTCATTCCTTGTGTTTTCTGATCGAGTTGACTTGTGTTCGTTTCGCCGTGAAATTAAATGGAAGAGACTCGACACCTTACGTTGCAATCCGAACGGTGATTTGCACCGACCTCGTGGTTTAGTGATGTTGGTGCGGACCTCCCAGCTGTTTACGAACACTTCAGGTGTTTCAACAAGTGATTTGGCAGCCTGAGGTTTAAATGATCAACCACTAGCTAGCTGACACCTTGGCCATCGCTACTTCCAACTCTTTGCCGGCTTTTACTTGCTCCCGCTCTCGTCCTGAAAGGGGAAGGAGCAATGGTGAACTTGCAGTGCAGAGTGAATGCAACTGTCCAACGGCAGCCATCAGCGGTGTAAGACCAATGTATCGAGCGGGCAGGGTCCAATCTTCATGTTTGATATAATTACCAGGGCCTCAACCATCAAACGCGTTGATGATTCTTTATGTTTTTGCTATTCAGAGATATACCTGAAGGGGGGGACCAGCATTTCAGACCCGTTTCATGCTACTGCGTTGTCGTCTACATTTCAATGGAGCTGATTTGTGCCGAAATGATCCTAAAGCTAAAGGGGTTGGATGTCTCAATGAGTAAGGCAAGTTTTCCCCTGGAGGAATCCTGCACGTTCAAACCTGCGCACGCCTTAAGAGGCGCGCGCGGTAGGTTGAAAGGGATTGATGCCACACAAACTGGATTTACTATATTATCAGTTGTTAATGCATCACCACCCCCTATCTCTACAAAAACGGTGGTGACTTACGGAAATGCAACTTATAGACATGTTCAAATTGTGCCTTGTTTTGGAGGGGTGGTGGGGTGCAAAGGAAGAGACAAAAATAATTCCAGGAAGGAGAAAGAGGAAGACATAAAGAAATAAGAAAAGGAAGAAAGGTCTATATAAATTGAAAAATAATAGACAAAGGAAAGGAAGAAACCACCCAAAAATGTAAGCTAGACTGGCGGAGGTCTCTAAAAAAGTGGTATTGTACCTAGAATAAAGGAACATATGGAAGCTATGCAAACAACCAAAGACCAAAGATACATATCAGATCAAGGCAGAAAGGAACCAAGAAAGACATGAAGAAAGACTTAAAGAGGGACCTCCAAAAAAGTAAGCTACATTTGCCAGTTCTCACGCCCAAGGTTGTACAACATACCAAAAAGATGAACGTGTATTTTCCCATGTGAAGTGGTTTCCCCTGCTAAGCTTTTGGCATTACAGGTAGAATGGGAGGCGCTTGACAACACAGCAATGCTTGTTGTTATGCCAGGACAATTTTTGCCTTTACTCACCTGTGAAACCACCTTTCATCCAAGGGGTTCCACAGAAATGCATCCAATATGGTGCAAGTGCCAACTATACGCCAACTATAGCTGCTGAGGAACTCGGCGTGATTGCATGGTTGCCGGCCTGACATGACATGAGGCGTAAGTGGCAAGGATACGAAGGACTTGGATTCTGTGGAGCCGCTGGTCTTTCACGTCACCCAGTTCCCCTGCCCCACATCTTACCAATGCCCAGTGCAAGAGGTGGGTGTGGCCGCTTGTGTCGCACGATGAGCGACGACTCTGGAGTATGTCGCCCTGCAAACGCCTAATGAAATGCTGCACTTCAGGGAGAGAGAGAGAGAGAGAGAACGCCCTTCTGCAAGCCCTCCTGCAAGGGAACTTGTGCACTTACCTCTTGGAGAAGCTGGGGCGCCGCTTGGCCGCGACAGGGAGTGCTCCATGAAACATAGACACAACAGTGGGCCACAATGGAATGCAATATAGCTGGCAGCTCGGGATGAAACTGTCTCATGTTTTGGCCCAGGCCTAGGCGGCTAGTACGAGTTTGTGCTGGCATGCTGACGTCACCGCTGTTTCGCTCACCAAGGACCCGCAAGACAAGAGAAGGCTGCAACCCTGCACTCCTGGCAGAGTAGTTGAACCCGAGCGAAGCAGTGTGACCAGTTCGCTCCAACATCCCAGCCTAGGGTCGTTCCTTTGAAGGACATGCTGCAATTTTCATGAGAAAGCAAGCGGTTCTGTGCGCACATTGCTGCCAGGGCCTGCACAGACCCTGTACGGGGCCCTGGTGGTCATGCAAGTTATATCCTTGAGCTTTGCTTGGTTTACGTTATGTCGATTCAAGCCGTTCCACGGGCAAAGTTCAACGCACAGAGCAACACACACAGCTGACATCCCAGGAGCACCCCTATCCTGCTTGGATTTGTTGCACGCCAAAACAGACATGTTAGTTCATGTTAGTGAACATTTCATGTGCCTGGAGATTTAAGCATTGGGGTTGCCAGCGGCAGACACGATGCCAGCGAAGAAACGTGGCATCCGGCTGTTGCCGCCTTGTACGAGTTCCACAGGAGTGTGGCCCAAAGCCGGCTGCACTGCAGGCAGGGATAAATATTTGGAACAGGACAGGGAAGCTCGTACCGCTCTCCAGAAATGGTTTTCGAACCACATGTGGGCACGAAATGCGATGGAGACATGTGTTCAGGCTTCAGGATTCGGACTGTCGATTTGATGTGGTGTTTTCCGTGCAGTTTGAAGAGACTAGAAACAG